TGTCAATGAGCCCTGCCAATTTCTGCCATGTCTTCAAACTCTGTGTCTTGAGTTCAACTGGACACTCAACTTGCTCTGTCCTACTTAAAACAGGCCACAAAATGTGTAATGAGTCACGCTGTGTCCTTTGGCACAACTTTTTCTTGTTTTTAACTGTTGGTCTCTTTTAATTGAGCTGTATAGTTTCAGCTCCTGTGCAGCTGTAGCATGGCTGCTTGTGTCTTCCTGGGCACTATCTGCAGTGGCCCAAGTCAAAGTCCCACCACGGAAAGCCTCTGCCCCCTCTCAGTGCCTGAGCAGCGTTCCCTGCTGATGGTGTGCTCCTTCCTCCCCTCTCTGCAGAGAGGTGCCTGCCCTCAGTCAAGCTGAATGTGTCGGCATGGCCACATTCTGCTGTTCATTCTGCTGTCAAGGGTAAGGGTGTGGTTGTCAGTCTTGGGCTAGGTCACAGGCTGCGATCAAGTTAAAAGATGGAGTGATGTGAGCAGGCTCTGCTGCTGGTCTGGAATGCTGCAGACCCACATGTGTGAGGCAGGCCCAGCACGCTCTGCCAGAAACTCCAGGAGAGCTTTTCTCGTCTCCCTTTACCTCAGATGGGTAAAGCTTCTTCTGTCAACCAGCACTTCATGTACAGTCCCTTCAGTGGGTGTTGTGGGAGTGCTTTGTTAGGCCCATTTCCACTCTGCTGTGGGCAGGCAGAGCCAGGGCTGTGTGTGGCGTGGGGGACTCATCTATGGACGTGGCAGGAGATGCCTGACCCAGGTCATGGAGACCAGTGCTCTTCTGCACGTGCCAGTGTCAGCACCGACACTGGGGTTTTGCTCTATCAGCTCTTGACTCCTGGTGGTCCTACTTGGCAATTTGCTTGGTATTTCCTAAGGAAAGCAGCTTGCTCTGCAGGACAAAACACCTCTTTTATCTTTTTTTATCTTCCTGTTTCACTGTCTTCTGCTGCTTTGTGTCTGGGTGCGTTCCCATGTGCCTGCCTCCCCTCAGCTCTCCTCTCCTCCTCTGGCTGCTGCTCTGAACCTGGGGAGGAGATGTTGGGGCTGAGGGGAGGTGGGGAGTCAGGTGCCCCTGCTCACAGTGCTGTCACCCCTCTGATGGGGGTGAGGACCACAGATAACAGCCGCTGGCACTGGCAGTGATAAGAAGTCATTAGCACTGTTGCACGGAGTCAGGCCAAATGTGCCTGAAGCAGATTATTAGAGAGGGGGACATGGGAGCCAAGGGTGCTACCATGGGGCTGTTCACTGTGACCTCCCACCATTTTCAGCAGTCAGCGTGCCAGGAACTTCCTCAGCTCCACCAGCAGCTTGGATTTTGATAGCTCTCACCTATTACCTAAAAGCACTTTGACACATCCACTTACTACTCCTTTAAGCTCTGCAAGGAAACAACATGTGAGCTGGTATCATTTCAGCATGGACTGAAGAGGCTGCTGGTGACATCCTGCCTGCCTCATCTGCAAGGAGCATTCCCCAGCACAGTGATGTTGGAAGGAGACAGCCCAGCTCTTCCTTGGCAGCATTTCTGGACTGGGCTTTTAGTAAAACTTGCTACTACTCCTGACAGATGCCTCTGCCATCAAGCATCTGGGAACATGGAATGCCATGTTGCTGAGTGGTGTAAAGAAAAAAATAAAAGTCTACCATGTCCTTGGGTCATCCTCAAGTTCTTTAATTATTGAGAGCTGACAGATACACCCCAGTGCTGGCACAGCTTCTTCCCAGCCTGCTGTATTCATCTGTTCTCAGCATCATTAATAAAACAGCAGTTCTTGCTGGGCAGTGATTGCTCGCCCGTGTTCAGGGCTTGGGAGAGGAGAGCCAACACAAAATCCCCCTGTCCCTCTCGCCCTTCAGCTCTGTGTTGCTCCCATGGCACCTCCTGGTCTGCAGGAGTCTGTTATGTTTTGACCCTTCCGCTGCTCTTACAGTGGGAAGAGAATCTTCATCAAACACCTTCCCCCTCCCTCCTGCTGTCAGTGTCCTGCACCTTGCAGGCTGCTCTCTGCAACCCCTTCCCAGGTAGCCTCAAGCCACGCTGAGCCACCCGGTGCTGCTTCAGCAGAGCTGGAGCCAGAAGGGGTTTGGCCTCAGCCACATGTGGCCATGTCGCCTTTTAGTGATCTGAGTTGCCTTGGTGTTTACCCATTGGTTTGCAAAGATCAGACCACTTGTCCTCATCCTTTCCCAGGGTGTTTTAATGGTGCTTTTGCAGTGCTGGTTGCCCGGGTTGGAAAGGCCAGCGTATGGAAGAAGTGGGGACACTTCTTTAACGTTATTTAACTGATAGCAACATTAAATTAACATGATGCCATTCCTGTGCTCTTGTGACAGCAGGGCAGTCTGCAAAGCTCTCCCCAAGTGTAGTAGCTTAATGTAAGCCTGGCCATTGCACTGCTCAGAGGTTTCCAGGAAGCTTGGCTACCAGGATAAATGCAATGCTGTTGACTTGAGTAGGATGACTGGATTCCCTCTAACAGGGCAGGACTTGGCTAGGTGAATGCAGTTGTGCAATAACTTCCTTATTAAAACATTTGATAGAACAAAATATAATCCTGCTTTCCCAAAGGAGATTTATGTAGCTGGCGAGGCACAACCACAACATCCCATAAAGTCCTAATTGCATCAAAATGTTCCATTTTAACGGACACAAAGCAGAAGCTTCACCTGATTTCATTACACTTCCCAAAGTGCAGCTGAAACCTCTGTCCATCTGGCAATGTGGCTGTTGAGTGAGGTGTTGGGAAGAGTACTGGCAGCCAGTTAACAGGCTTCCCAGCAGTGAAACTGTGCTTTGTGATACTTAAGGAGGATTTCTTTTTTTATTAACTGATACCATTTGAAGTCACCTTTTTTCACAGGTATTCCTGAAAAGCGACCGCGTTGCCAGGATGGTGCAGAGCGGAGGGTGCTCAGCCAACGACTCCCGGGAGGTCTTCAAGAAGCACATTGAGAAGAGGGTACGGAGCCTGCCAGAAATCGACGGCCTCAGCAAAGAGACAGTCTTGAGCTCCTGGATGGCAAAGTTTGATGCCATTTACCGTGGGGAAGAGGACCCCCGCAAGCAGCAGGCCAGGATGACGGCGAGCGCTGCCTCCGAGCTCATCCTCAGCAAGGAGCAGCTCTATGAGATGTTCCAGAACATTTTGGGGATCAAGAAATTTGAGCATCAGCTTCTGTACAACGCATGTCAGGTAAGGACCTCCCAGTCATGGAGGAAGTGGAAGAAGGTTTCATGGGGAGGGCCTGTCAGTGGGAAGTACTGCTGTCACAAACTGGAAAGTCTGGGTCTGGCCAGGCTGTTTCTGAGAGAACTTCTGCTTGGGAAAGGGGGTTTTGGCTCATGGTGGGACTTCTGCACTGCCAGTTATGTTCTGGCTGTCCATGTGGACCTTCTTTCTTGCTCATGCTGGTTTTCTCTTGTTTGATTGCTTAGGGTTTTCTGCAGATCTTTCAGAAGGTCTTTATATAAAGTTTTCTTTGATGAAATCCCATAGGATTGCTGAGATGGTAAAATTTTATTCCTCCAGCTCAGTGTCTGGATCAGCAGGTCTTTGATGGTGCCTTAGTGAGCTGTTTTGCTGTGACTTGCTTTCCTTTCTGCTGTCACATGGCCAATCTAAATGACAGAAGTACGTTCTTGCAGCCTGCAGTAGCGTTGTTGGTACTTGAAGCTCCGATGCCCCTGGGGTGAGTGTCTTATGCAGACTCACTCACTGAGGTTGTACGGGGTTCTCCTTCAGTAGAGGAAGCCTCTGTCCCCCCTGCATGCCCGTGGCAGGAGGAGAGAGCATCCCAAACCCCCATGGACCTGGAGGTGGTTCTGCTTGCACTGTTTGTTCCCAGATAGATGAAAACCTTCCCCGTTCCTCTCTTTTTGCCCCCAGTAAGAACCAGTTCCCCAGCGGTGCAGAGCTGGGACTCTGCAGTCCTGTTTGCATTTCCAGCAGCCCTTGCTGAGGGCTGTCGGTGGCTGTCCAGGCTGCTGATGACCCAGATTATGGTCCCCTGCTATCAGATAAAAATACCTCAGGCGGGGTAGAGGATGTCAGAGTCACGGGGAGGGGCAGGTGATGCTGTGGAAAGTTTTTGGAGGAGGAGCAGACCTCAGTCTCTTCCCTGTACTTCAGGGCTTCAACTTCTTATTGAAATGAATACATTTGGGACCAATTCTGTCTGTCTTCTGTCTAGACAATTTCAATTCTTTCCAAGACATAGGAAATTGTTTGATCTGGGTTTTTTTTTTTTTTTCTGTAAAGAGCTTAATTACCTTTCATTTGTCCTTCTTCATCTCAGACCTTTGTGGCAGAGTGGGGAGAAGTTAATAAATGTCCCTGAGTAGAGCATCTTCATAGCAGAAAGGCAACAAGGGCTGAATCAGTCCTCATACGTTATATTTACAAATCAGATTTTGTGTCTCCATCTTCTGTTGGAGAACTTCTTTAAAATCAAAACTGTAATGTTTTCAGTGATATATTGAAAGCTGAGTAAGTTCTGCAGAGTGTTTTGGGGTTTTGTTTGTTTGTTTGTTTTTGTTTTTGTTTTTTTTTTTAACTTTAACTCAAGCCCTGTGTCTCTCATCCTCCCTTGACCTGTCCTCAGCTAAGGAACTGGGGTGTGTTTGTGTGTGTGATCCTGCCCTCTTGCTTTGTGGCTCCCAGTGATGCAGAAAACTGTGTTTATCCTAGCTGCCCTCATCTCTGCTTGTGAGAGCCTTCCTGGCTGACACCATGAACCCAGGGGCTGCTCCATGCAAATTGCCCTGTTGCATTGAGCAACTTGTTTCCTGCAGTAGGTCCTGTTTCTACTCTGAAAGAGAAGGATTTAATTCTGGGTCTTTTCTAATACTCAGAAGAAGCAAACCTGTAATTTAAGCTTTTAGAGAAAGACATAGTTTCTGTTGAAAGCGAGTATTAGCATGGGAGTTACTCTGGTTTAAAGATCTGGCTAGTGAGGATTAGCTATGCAGAAAGGAAAGCCCTTTACACAAGGTATGGCTCAGAAAATTGCAAGACCAGCAGTTGCTCAGCTGTCTGGTATTTTCCTGGGGTGCTGTGCAAGTAGTTGTGGTGTCATGGTGCCAGCACGGTGGGGTGGGAGCCAGCTCCACGGGGAGCAGGGGTGGGAGCAGGTTGCTGCTGCTCCTTCTCCTGTCAGGTGCTGTAGAGAAGGCAGCAGGGAGCATCCAGAGAAACTGCAGCCTTTGCTGTGGGGACCCTTATTTCTGTGGTACCTGCAGGCTCATGTCATCTGGGCTGCACCAGAGGGATCTGTGGAGCTCTCTGTCCACCAGCAGCCCTTAGGAGAGCAGCAGCAGCTGCTCTGCACTTCCATCTTGCTGTGAAGCACCCGAGTTGCTGTTGACCACTGCTCCTTCCCACAGGGTCTCGGGCATCGCTTACAGCCAGTCTGTTGTGGGGTATAAGTAAAACCTGTTAACCCACAGATGGTTTAGTTTGCTTAGCTTGTATGGGGAGTTCCTGGCAAAAGTCAAAGGTGCACACCACTTGTCTATCATGTTTTCTGTGGTAGAGCTGCAGGGTAGAGCAGAATCTGATATGCAATGAGCAGTGATTCAGTAACCTGCCTCTTATCCCCTATGAAAGCTTTCTCCTGATCTCATGATGAAGCATTGGCATCAACCTTGAAATAGGAGATTCTTCCTTTGCCTTCCTAAACTTTCGTAGCAAATTATTTCCTACTCCAAAAGCTCTTGGTGTTCATGCAGCCTAGATTTCAAAGCCACAGCAGCAGCTGGGTGCCCAACTGCTGCAGGCTGGAGGTGCAGGTGAAGCCCTGGGCACTGCCCTTCATGACTTGGAAACTCTCCCATGCCATAACCCCTTGGACTGTGCTGAGCCACTCTGCACCAATGCAGTCTCTGACGTGGGGAGGCTGACAGCAGTTGGGGAGCCAGAGGCACCTGCCAACAGCCCAGCACTAACACCAGGGACACGTGGAGAGAGAAGTGTGGTGTGTACAGCATCACAGCAGCCTGGGTGGCCACTGGGTGGGAGAGGGCCTGGGGCAGCTGGAGGGGAGGAACTTGCTGTGGCCATGGCAGGGCTGGGAGGTGCTTCTGCAGGACTTGCTGCCAGCTGCTCGCTCTCTCCCCCACCCCTACTTTGCATTTTCATAAATTTTCATTTGCAGCATCTGTCTCTCTCTGTTTGACAAGCTGTCTTCTGTAAACACCTCTGCTCTACCAGTCTGTCCTGAAACCAGCAGTGAGCTGCCTTCCCGGGTGGGTTTGTAAACACCTCTGAGCCTCTGCCTGCAGCTGTACTTGCAGCACAGAATGCACCCACTGGACTTTGGGGCACTGGCCCCTTAACCCCTAAAGCCAGGCATTTATTTCTATTGGCCTAAGCAGTGCTCATTTGTCTCCCTGGGAAGACACCAGCTCTGTTGGTCTGACTCTTGTTTCATCAGAGTTAATTGGAAGTAGAACTTCATAATTTGATTGAAGCTTCTGTTGCTTGTTTCATAAGAACAAAATATTTTATATATTCTGCTTGTGAATAGCTTTAAGGAAAACACTGTCTGGCATTTTCCTGGATGTGCTGAAATGACAGTATTTTTTTTGGCTCCAGTTGTGCACGTGTGGGTGATTTGTACAGTTGCTTTCTTCCTTTTCCTTTGCCTGGGCAGCTCCCTCTGGAGCCCACCACTGGGCAGCCTGCTGTGGGGCTGGCTGCCAGCAACCCTCCCGAGCAAATCCAGGGGCAATCATGAGCTTCCCCGCAGTGCTTTGGCACAATAGAAGTTATTCTTATTTTTGACTTCTGCCTTGCACAGGATTTGTTGGGAAGTGTTGCTGCCTTGTCCCTGGCAGGCTGCCTGAGGTGCCCTGGCCCACTGCAGAGGGGCAGCACGGTGCTCTTCAGGCAGCTTCTCAGTCAGTCCCCTGTGCTTGGGAAAGCAAAGCCCATCGACTTCTCCCCTTGCTCCTGTTGGCTGGGGGCAGAGGGGCTGCCTGGTCTGACGTGCTCTCCCTCACTTTGGTGGGCAGGGTGAAACTGCCCTCGAGGCTGGGCAACGAGGCAAGGAGTGAGAAAGCTTTGCCTAGTTTCAGTCCACCTAAAGCAGGGACAGGAAGGGTGCTGAGAGGCCCAAATGCTTCCTTCTACTTCTCCTGTGGTCTGGAAGACAGTGCTTTTAATTTGTGTGGCCTCCTAATCATAGGCACTAATTGCATAATGATTACATCACTTGGGCAGCATTTCCATTCCCTTCTGAAATAATAATTTGTTTGTGCAGAAGGAGGACGGTTTCTAAAGGGATTTTTTTTTTTATACAATATGCCCAGGTGGTATGAGGTAAGTGTATTATTAACATGCTAGCAGTGATATAACAGGACCTGAGACAGCAACAGAGCAAAAGGGATTGATGCAGTCGGAAAGGCTTTTAGGAAACAGGAATGGGAAGTGGTGTTGTAGCAGAATGATTGTGGACATAATGGTGGTGTTAAGCACAACCTCTGACTAGAACTTTTTAAATAATACATAGGGGCTTAAGTTTTTGCATAACACTGTGTGGCTTGGTGTTTCTGGCCCACTGAAGTCAGTGTGGGAATTGAGTATCTTGGCTCCAGCAGCGAGCTCCTCTGCTGTGCAAGAGGCATCGTGGAGGGAGATCTTCAGTCATGATTTTCTGCTCCAGAACCCATTGGCAAGGCTTGATTAACCTGTGGCTGGGGAAGAGTCATACAGGAGCTATTTTCTGTAAGTGTTGGGCAATTCCAAACTTGGGTCTTGCTGCAGTTGGCATTTCCTTGGGTGTGAGCCCTGTATTTCCCACTGACCTTCATGACAGCTGAACTGCAGCAGCATCTCTGAAAATCAGGCTGTGGTGTTCTCCCTGTCTTGTTCTTCCCCGGCCGTAGGCAATGATTTACTTTTCTATCTCATGCTGTGTTTGGAAGTCATTTTTAGCTACAGTGAGAAGAGAAGGAGCTGGTACAGTGCTGTTCAGTTAATGGAGCAGCAGCAGCTGATGTCCTGAACACACCTATGATGAGCTACACACTTCCACCCTCCCGCTCCCGAGGCAGCCTGGGACTCTGGGCTGACCCTGCAGCGTTGACTGGGTTCACAGGCTTCACAATCAGACTTTCTCTTCTTTCCTGGATCTTGCACCCTGAAGTGTTCTGTACACTGTGGCATTCTTCTTAAATATGCACAATGTCTGTCCT